AAAAAAAAAAAAAAAAAAAAATTAGCCCTTTTGGAATTGGCCTGCTCAAGAAATAACTTTCAGGAAGTGACCCAGATGTGTTCACTGACTACAGTCATAGAGTGGCAGCAGAGAGGTGCGACTGTCCACTGTCTTAGAGCAATGAAAGCTGTAACTGCCAGCAAAGGGCAGGGCCTCCAACACACACCTGCCCCAACTGCCAGGGAAAGAGCCCTTCACTGCTTTCCTGCTACTAGGTGACACTGACGCAGAGATCAGAAATGCTACCAAGCAAGACTGTTGCTCCTCAGCATCTCTGAAGAGGAGGATGCAGGAGCCGAGATATCAGAAGAGACAGCCAAGTCAGCAAGGGGTTGGTGGCCAATTTACCTGCTTATAGCAATAAACAGTCATGTGTCAATTAACAACAGGGATACCACCTGAGAAACTCGGACGAGTCTGTCATGGATTTTGTTATCCTGTGAGAACCACAGAGCACACACACAAACCTAGATGGCACAACCACTACACGCCCAGGCTCTGGAGCCTACTGCTCCTGGGCCACTAGTCTGCACAGTGTGTTACAGGGCTGCAGGCTGCAGGCGGTTCCTACACAGAAGTGGGCATTCATGTATCTGAACATATCTAGGCCAGGCATAGGCACAGTGGCACACACCTGTAATCCCAGAACTTCGAGAGACTTAGGCAGGAGAATCATTTGAGAGCAGTCCGGGCAATAGTGAGACCCTTACTTTACAACAAATAAGAAAAATTAGCCAGCTGTGGTGGCACATGCATGTAGTCACAACTACTTGGGAGGCTGAGGTGGGAGGATCCCATGAGCCCTAGAATTTGAGGTTACAGTGAGCTATGATGGGCATTTCAATCTGGAAGACAGAGTGAGTCTGTTTTTTGTTTTTTGTTTTTAAAAAGGGTGGTGCCTGTAGCTCATTGGGTAGGGTGCCACACACATACACCAAGTCTGGGGAGTTCAAACCCAGGCCAGTTAAAACAACGACAACTGCAATAAAAAAAGAAAAGTAGCCAAGCATTGTGGCCGGCACCTGCAGTCCCAACTACTTGGGAGGCTGAGGTAAGAGAATCGCTTAAGCCCAAGAGTTTGAGGTTGCTGTGAGCTGTGATGCCACAGCACTCTACTGAGGGTGACACAGTGAAACTCAGTGTCTTAAAAATAAAAACCAAAAAACAACTAAACATAGAGGAGATAAAGAAAAAATACAGTATGATAATCTTACAGAACCACTGTTGAATATGCAATCTTGTCATTAACAGATTATATGAAATGTGACTATATCCAACATTCAAATGATACAGTCACTTCTTCAAGAACTTACAAAGTGTGTCTGAGATCTTACTTATAGGAACCACAGAAGAGCTTAAAATTCTTATACATTGGCTTGGTGCCTGTGGTTCAAGTGGCTAAGGTGCCAGCCACATACACTTAAGGTGGCGGGTTTGAATCCAGCCCAGGCCTGCCAAATAACAATGACGACTACAACCAAAAAATAGCCAGGTGTTGTGGCGGGCGCCTGTGGTTCCAGCTACTTGGGAGGCTGAGGCA